CATATAGATAGCTCCCCGTGCCAGTTCGGTCAGGTTTCAGAGGTCTCCCGCTTCGCCTTGTCGTTTTGGCCCTCCTCGGTTTCGATGAGTGGCTGGTGCCTCAGTTTACTGAGTCTTGCCAGTGGGGTCTTCCCATTCCGTTCCCACCCAAGTGTGTTCCCGGTGTTCCGTGTGACTTCCCGTGCCGTTTCCCACCTCGTCCTTTGGCTCAAGCTGCCCCTCCTCGAGTCCCTCAGCCTGCCCCCTCTGCGCTCGGCCTGCCTTTGAAGACACGGTGCGGTCTTCCCAGCGTTCCCCGAGCCGAGCCCTGCCCCAGACTCTTCTGTCCTTTGTGCCCTGCCTGTCCGTTTGCGTCGGCTGTAGATACGCTGCTGAGTGCCCCTTAGCCTTGCTGATGGGTGTTCACGGTTCCCTGCCTCCGGTAGCAGTATAGGGCAGGATCTGTCCTTCGTGTGTATTCCCAGCTTTTGCCAGGATAATGCCTGTGACTTGATAGACACCTTAGATAGCTGCTGCCTTGTTGACTGATAGACTGAATGGCCCTGTGCATGAGTAGGATGGTTTATTCAGGTGGATTTTTGGGTTCTTCCGCTTTGTTTTTACAGGAAGGGGTGCCCGAGCCAGAAACCGAACGGGAAGACACCCGTCCTGAGACGAGCGTCGCTGACGAAGTTGCTCTGGAGGAGCCAGCCGAGGACAAGACATTGAGGTCTGTGCTCACAGCAGACCAGCCTGACATGTCCGGTAAGTCGGCGAACATCCCTGGAGGTTGACTTTTCTGCCGTCTGTGCTTAAACGCCACTGTGGGGCCAGGGAAGGGGTTAGCTTGTGGGTAGATGGAAGGCATGCTTCGGCCGCAGGTGTTCCTGGGCTCCATCGCCAGGACCTCCGTCGAAGGAAAGAAGCTACGTGCGAACCTAAAGTACCTCAAGACTGTAGGTCCAGATACCACCTTCAGTACTGCTTGCTTTCCTTTTCCCCACTGTCCCCCACACATCCCAAACACTACCAGGTTTTCCCTCAAGAAAATTCTTGAGTCCTCTGAAGTTCCTTTGGGCCACGTTAGTTTACAGAAAGATTCTTGAATGGGGTTAGACTTCTCGGGTTTGGGTACAATTCAAAGTGGTCAGTGTTGTCGCTAACATCTGTGTGTCTGCACCCTCTAGGTGACACATCGGGACAAGAGGAAGACGCGGAGTCCACTGACGAGGAGGTACCGTCTCCTTTGGCTGTTTTTTTTTCTTCTTTTACTACCTAACCGTCGAGGGTCGTTGATACGTAAGCGGATGGATACGTCACCCCTGCGTCCTGACGTTTGCATTTTCCCATTACCGTTCTTGCCTAATATTTTCTAATCCACAAGTGCTAAAGTCATTCTGTGCTTTCGGTCCCGCGAGCACACAGTGCACTTGTGTGAGTTTTCCACGCTCACCTACGGAAAGCGGTGTCTGTATCTGAGGTCTTTTCCTCCAGTACTTTTCCTCAGCCGGTTAGGCCAAGTGACTGAATGTAGACGGTTCCCTGTGCGAGTTCGGTGAGGTTTAAGATGTCTCCCGTTTTGTCTTCTGTTTTCGGCACTCCTCGTTTTGGATGATTCGACTGTTGCCTCTTACCGAAGCTTGCCAGTGGGGCCTTCCCATTCCCTTCCCGCTCGGTGTGTTCAGGATTTCCGTGTGACTTCTCATGCCGTTTCCCACCTCGTCCTTCGGCTCAAGCTGCCCTTCCTGGAATCCCTCACCCTGCCCCCTGTGCGCTCGGCCTGTCTTCGAAGACACGGCCTGAACTTCCCAGAGTTCCCCAAGCCGGGACCCGCCCCAAAGTCTTCTCTCCTTTGTGCCCTGCCTGTCCTTTCCCTTCGGCTGTAGAGCTGCTGAATGGTCCTTTTGTGTGCTGATTGGTGTTCAGGGGTCCCTGCCTCTGGTAACAGTACGGGGCAGAATCTGTCCTTCGTGTGTATTCCCATCTTTTGCCAGGATAATGCCTGTGACTTGATAGACACCTTACATAGCTCCTGCCTCGCTGACTGATAGACTGAATGGCGAAATGCTTGAGTACGATGGTTCCTCAGGGTTGGGCTTGTGTCATTATCTTGTGTTTTTACAGGAAGTTTCAACGCAGCGGGAGAATGCAGTAGAATATGTTACTCAATCCCTTGAAGATGCTCCTGAGGATCCAATTGTGCAGGAGGAAATCGCATTTTATGAAGGAATTTTAATGTTTATATTACTGTTCTCCAGCATCGTTTTGATTTTTATTGTATTATATAAACCAACCATTGACGAGTTGTGGCGGGTGTAAATGGTATATTCTGCGTTGTATCCATTTGTCAATTGTTTCCCCCTCGATTCATTAAACCCGTCTTTCTGGCTCAAAAATGTGTGATTTGTATTTGTATAGATTCTGTTTGGATTCTTAACCTATGTTTTCTCTTATTTCAGAAGTATTTGTCATACTGTTTCGATGGGTTTTTTTTTTAAATAAATGGATGTTTAAAATTTTACAGTGATTCCGGCAAAAATGTTTGCTTAAAAGGAATAGTGTTTTTGTTTTTGTTATTTTTTCTATTTTCATCTCTTGAAATTTAAAACATGTGCTTGCTTCCTTTGAAATTTTATGTTTTCAAGTAGAGCTGCAGGGACATTTCAGGAGAATGAACCGTATGGTAAGCAATATGAGATATGTTACGTTCTTATAGCATCAGTTGATGCAGTCGTGCTCTATTCAGGGCCAACCCTGATGATAGGAATGGATTCTATTCCTCAAACTACGTGAGCAGTATGCACTGTTTCCTGTTTTAAAATGTATCTACCCACCCCATCCCGCATCTCAAGTGTTTTCTCACCCTTTATGCGCTGTTGTTTACTCAGTTGAATTGTCCTTGGGGCCGCACTGCAGATTTCCAGGGGCCTTTCTGTGGTCCGCTCCC